AATGAACGGCCTATGTTAATTGGGCTAAAAAAATACTTTCTAGGTTTTGTTTTCAATTTTTTCTTTTTTTGTGATTGTTTATTAGAATGAAAAGAGTGTATATTTTAAAATTTGGATCAAACAAATGGCCATAAGATGGTTTTTTAAGATTGTTGCATCATATTACTATACAATGGTTGTATGACATCATTACCCATATATATATATATATATATATATATATGAAAAATTCTTTCCAATGCCTATAGACGAAAATGAGCAGTGATTTCGCTTACCCTCATCACCGTCTAAAGTTTATCGCATGGTCACGATTAGCCGGTAGTATTTTATTTTTCATTTTTTTTCTACAAATCGGAATTATCTGAAATTTGGAGTGTGTGTATATATTAGTGAGGCGTACCTAATAAAAATATATATAAAAAACAATTCGTGAAAAAAATTAATCAAAATACGCCCGAAATATTTTGGTCAATTGTTTTCATGTAAAAGTTTTTTGTGATATTTTTCGTAGATTTGCCTATTTCTATGAACACACGCTCCAAATTTCATGTCATTCTAATTTGTAGAAAAAAAAATTTAACAATGAAACACTACCAGACAATCATGATCGTACGATGAACTTTGGATGATGATGAGGGTAGGCGAAATCACCGTTCATTTTCGCCTATAGGCGTTTTGTAGTATCTTCCATATATATATATATGGAAAAAGTTTATGTAAGGTTGCAACCTTAAAATGTAGAATTCACGATGCACCTCAAAAATCCATTGAAAAGGGTTGTTTTAATGTTGAAAACCCTTTAATTGATCATCTCGACAATGAGATGTATGAATATGAAAAAAAAAAAAAAAAGAGATTTTGAGTCCCACAAATAGTGCATCTTGCAACATATTATCTAGTCCGTCAGTTTTCAGGATTTTCATGTATTTATAGATTTACTAGATTTCACTATTATTGAAGTTTTAAATTTTATAATTAGATATAAAAATAGATTTTTTGGATAATCTTAAGAATTTTTTACACCAAAATTACATGTTATGATAAATTTTGGAGGTGGACCTTAATTAGATTGTTTAAAGTTGCAACTTTATAGAAACCACACCTTGGATTGTTTAAGGTTACAACCTTATAGAAACCACGTCCTATATGATTTTATGCAACGGTTGTATACTAATATAATGCAACAACCTTTAAAAACCATATTAGGCCCATTTGTTTGATCCAATTTTTGAAACATACACTCTTTTCATTCTAATGAACAATCACAAAAAATAAAAAATTGAAAACAGAATCTAGAAAGTATTTTTTGCACAATTAATATAGGGCATCTATTTTGATAAGAAGCTTAGATCTAGGCCTTAGAAGGATTTTTTCTCTTCCAATTTTTTTAGATGGCTTTATTATCATTAGATGAACAACATTTATAAGGAAAAAAATGATTTTGAGTATGTATACGTTAAGATTTTGAAATTTGCCGGATGAATGATCTAGATTCATAGTTGGAGGGGACTCATTTTGACCATATCTAGGGTCCAAATTGAATTCGTTTTTTTGGATAGATTATTGACATGGAGAGAGAGTGCACACAAAATTTTGGGTCATACAAATACCACAAACATGGTTTTCTAGAAATGTGGTTGCATCTTACTATGATACAATCGTTGTGCGCCCAAGTGCATACTGCTATAGTAAACGCCCACTGCCTAGATTGAATCTGGGCCGATCTGACGATCACGGATATCCAATAGTATTTGAATTTCAATTTTTTTTTTACAAATCAAAATCACTTGAAATCTTAGGCGTGTGCTCTTAAAAAATAAGCGAACATACCAAAAATATCAAAAAACAATTTTACACGAAATAAATTGACCAAAATACCCCTGAAAAGTTTAAAAGGTATTTTGGTTAATTTGTTTGCCGAATTATTTGTTTTATATTTTTATTAAGTACGCCTTGATGATAAAAACATACGGCTAAAATTTCAAGTGATTTGGATTTGTAAAAAAAAATTAAAATTCAAACACTATCAGACATTTGTAAGCGTCAGATTAGCCACATTTTTCATGTATGGGCGTATAGCAGTGACTCCCTATATATATAGAAGATGGCTAGGGTGAGCCCACTAGCTCATAGGAAAACATGAGCCCAACGACCCAGATTGAATTTGGGCCGATCTAAAGATCACGGGTGCCCGATAGTGTTTGAATTTTAATTTGTTTTCTACAAATCCAAATTATTTGAAATTTTAGATGTATGTTGATAAAAAATAGGTGAATATTCAAAAAATAGTAAAAAAATATTTTATATGAAAAAAAATGATCAAAATACCCCCAAAAATTTTCGAGGACATTTTTGTCATTTTTCATTACGGATTATTTTTTTATATTTTTATTAGGTTCAGCTTGATGAGAAGAATATTAACCTAAAATTTCAAGTAATTTGGATTTGTAGAAAAAACATTAAAATTCAAACACTCTCGACTGTCAGATATTCTTGACTCTCAGATCGACCTAGATTCAATCTGGGCCATTGGGCTTATACTATTATGTGAGCTAGTGGGCTCACCCAAGATTTTTTCAGATATATAAAATATATTTCCAATGCCTATAGGAAAAAATGAACTGTAATTTTGCCTACTCTCTTCACCAGTTAAACTTCATCGCAATGTCATAGTTGTCTGGTAGTGTTTTACTTTTCATTTTTTTGCTACAAATACAAATTATTTAAAATTTAGAGTGTATGTACATATTAGTGAGGCGCATCTAATAAAAATAGAAAATTTTTTTTTCGTAAAATATAAATTGACCAAAATTCCTCTGAAAATTTATGGGGGTATTTTGGTCAATTTATATTTTACGAATTATTTTTTTCATATTTTTATTAGGTGCGCCTCACTAAGATGTACAGACGCTCCAAATTTCAGTTCATTCTAATTATTAATAAAAAATAAAAAATGAAACACTACTAGACAATTGTGACTTTACGATGAAGTTTGGATGGTGATGAAGATATGCAAAATCACCATTCATTTTCACCTGTAGGCATTGGGAAGAATTTTTCTCTCTCTAGATATATATATATATATATGTAAAAAGAGAGAGAGTGAGAGAGAGATTACCTTGGTGAAAAACAACAAATGAATCAAAGTTGTTAGCACTTCTCTAGGGTATGAAGATTTCGAAGCAAAGGAGATTAGGGCAACCATATACAATTGAAGGAGATTTCTTAAATGTTATCAATTAGTGTAACAACAAATCTAGACCCGTTGCAGCTTAGGACTCAATGGATGTCTGTGATGGAGTTGGGCAATCAGTTGTATGTCTCCTATAGTTATGTGTATTGGGATATAAATAAAGTAGTTGATACACTTGCTAAGAGAGGTGTAGCGCTTCAATCCCTTCGAGTCTCTAATGTACTTTTTCTTTGAGTTTGTTGTAATTTATATTTAAACAATAAAATTTCAGTACTCTTGTCCAAAAAACAAAAAGATAGTGAGGAAGGGGGTTTGGGGGTGGGGGCTCCATTATTGCACTGCTAAGCTGGAGAAATGGATCTTTCTCTAGAAATATGCCATATCTTTTTATTTGTCTTTGGGTGCCACCCATAATTTCATGACTTTTATTTGACATAGACAATTTATTACTTCAATGGGACCGGACCATTACTGCTAATGACCTTAGCCAAAGCATCCAAAAAACAAATGAAAAGGAGAGCAAATCCTAAAGACTCTACAACTTCTGCCTATTTCAAACTCAATACATACCCAAGTAGGCTTGAAATTGAGAATTAATGGGAAGCTGGGAAAACTGCAATTCCAGTTCTGAAGGCACAAAACTTAAGTGACCATATACCTCAATTTTAATGAATAAAAATCTATCAAAATAACCTCTAAGCTGTATATTTAACTATTTAACTTGGGTAAATTTTAAAATCAATTCTGATGTGTTATTTGATAGGCTCTTTGAAATTTACTTAAATAATAATGGGGTATTTGCCATTAGATAAAAAAGTATGATTAAGGATTTCAAGTCCTATAATTGATCATCTCGACCTCGAGATTTATGGATATAGAAAAAAAGGATTTCAAGTCTTAAAAACTAGTTCATCTTGTAATACATTATCAATACCATCCATTTAAAGAAACGTGAAGTGTTTATAAATGGGGCAATGATTTCATGGAACAGTTGTATAGTAATATAATGCAATAATATTCAAAACCTATGTTAGAGCCATTTATGTGATCCAAATCTTAAAATATACACTCTTTTCATTCTAATGAATGATCACAAAAAAGAAAAAATTGAAAACCCTACTTAGAAAGTATTTTTTATTCTAATTAACTTAGGGCGTCTATTTTTGTGAGATGCATAGATCTAGACCTTAGAAGGATTTTTTTCTATTACAAAATTTTTAGATAGCTTTATTATCATTAGGTGAACAATGTTAAAAAAAAAAAAGAAAAAAAGATTATGAGTAGGTAAAGGCTAAGATCATGAAATTCACCAAATGAATAGTTCAAAAACATTCTTGGAGGAGATTCATTTTGACCATATCTAAGGTCCAAATTGAACTTTTATTTTTTTGAGATTGATTATTGAGATGAAGAGAGAGTGTGTGTAAAATTTTGAGTCATACAAATACCACAAATATGGTTTTCTTGAAGTATAGTTGTATTATACTATAATACAACTGGTGCATTAGATCACAGCCCTTATAAATGTGTTCAACCTACACCATTCTAGAGTTTTAAATTTTATATATAGGGATCAAAATATATCATAAGTCATATCAAGGGTTTTCAAAGGTGCCAATGCTAGAAGTTAAAGGGCGGGGCCAGCCTTAGCCCTGGCCTTGTTAGGGCCAAGCTAGTGCTAGCCCTAGCCTGACCCTCAGGGCACAATTCGTGGCCCAGGTCCCACGTAGCTCATTGCGAGGGCTACTAAGTGTACATTTGAGTGTTTAATGCTGATGGGTATACAAACCGCACCCTGCAACCTCATGCTAGTCGTCCACCCAAAATGTGGTAAAGGGCAGAGTATATTATGATCCATGTGAATGAAGTTTTTATTGGGCGATGTTTTATGCAAATAAAATAAAGCCCCACGTCAAATCCTTATATGGAAAGCATTTTGGGAAACAGTGATCTCCAAAATGGATTCGAATCAATTTTGATAATAAATTTTGAAACTCAAAAAAAATGATACATATATTTTGAAACTCAAAAACAATGATACATATCTTGCGGATCTATAGACACTGCATTTTGGGCTGAAACGGACAGTCTAGTTAATTAATTACAATAGTAATGGGTCATAACCTTCCACAATTGGGGAGTACAAATGAACCCACGACATGCTTTATTGGGCCAACTTCCTCCATCTCCGTCAATCCCACTGACGGATGATGATAACCCTCATGTCTATAATGTTTCCATGATCATATGGAGCATAGAATCCTCTACCATCATTCTGTCGTGGAAGATTTCAACAAAAGACTAGGGGCAATATTGTCACGTATAGTTGGAATTTCTTCGTGGGAAATGAAAATTAAATGAAATTAAAAAGCTAACATTTCTTCCTCATTACTTTCCTACGCTCACTTTAAAAGTTCAAACAGTCTTTTGTTGTTGTTTTTTTGGGTGAGTGTCGAAACAGTCTTTAGATTCACGAACGGTCTTTCCTTTGCGCTCTGTTAAAAAAAATTCCGAATCCGGTGATCTGGGCTTCATAACTCTGCAATTTTTGAGAATATTCTCCAGTTTTGTTCTCAGAACAAAACATACTCGTGAATTATCATTTCGACCTTCAAGGAAAATGTTCAGTTTTTTATCTTCTTATGAGCTTTTTTGCTGATTACTCGATTCTCTTGGAGACCTAGACGGTGTCACCTGAACTAGTTTAATGATTGAAAATTTGGTTGAATTTTGTGACAATTTGTTTGGTTAATGAATTTCGTGGAGCTTTCAGGGTTTTATCTGAAATTTCGCTGATCTTTAGTGAAATTTGATTGAGCTATTTGATGAGTGTTGAAGTTGGAGGCATTCATGAATCTGTAGTCGAATATATAACTGAAATTGAGTTCATTTTTGTTGAATTTGATTGAGATATGACATTTGTGGAGATTTGCAGGATTTAATCTCATGATTACCTGAATTTTCTGTGGCTCAATGGAAATATTTGATGACTGGTTTAGGTTTCTGATAGTTGTAGAGATTTATTGGAGTTAATATGAATTTGTTTGTGGAGTTTTAACGGATATAATGTGAATTTTAGCTGGAGTTTCTGGAATTTCACTGAAATAATTGATGATTGGACATTCGTGGAGATTTACAGTAGTTGATGGACAATAACACAGACTATTCTAAATTTTTAGGCCAAGACTTGATTACTGGGTCGTGATTTGGACTATCATGAAACTTTACAGGATTTGACCTGTATTTGATCTGAATTTTGTAGAAATAATGATTGGTTCTGGTATGAGAGTTTGATTTGAGAGATCAACAAAATGGATACATTGAAGAGGCAAGCAAGCAAGTTCAGAGAGCAGGTGTCAAAGCAGCAGCAGGTATGCTTTTATTTATAAATTATAATGAATTTTTAATAGTGTTTAGCATAACTGTGATTTACTTTTACAAAGTTGGTTAGATATTATGGTTAATTGACAAAAACATCCTGGTTTCTAAGTTTTCGTTCTCACATTCATGTCTATTCCTTCTTTTGTTGGTCTCAGGGATCAAATCGACTTTTTGAACAGTCTTCTTTCAATGGCTCTTTTTGTAAAAAATAGTTTCAAATTTTGTCGTTATTGGTTGTAACTAGTCATGGTTTTATGGTTGGAAATGATATTTTGGATTAAAATTTCTTGTTATCAGATAATTTTCTTGTTTGAGCAGTTTCCCTTATTTTGGTTATAATTATCCAAATTTTTATGGATTTGGGGCATGAAGTCGCCTTTGAGATGAACTTATGATTTTTAGAGCAACGTAATTCTTGTAAAGTCCATGACAGTGCCAAGTGATTAATTTAATTGTAACTCGGAAATATGATTTTTTCTCTTGATCACCTGCTGTCTTTAATTTGTTTACTTGTAGTTTCTTGCTGGTTATGGATATTCAGGTTTCAGACTGATTTGTTCATCTCTAAGTAATTTCAACCTATAAATCATATATATATATATATGATGTATTCGTTGGTTCGGTTGAAAATACATAATTCATAAAAGCTATATTCCAGCACCTCAATCTTTGTATCGGAGAACTCATTGAGCCATCTCCAATCAGCCATTGCCCTGTCAAGTTGTTCCTCCACTCCTGTGTCCAACCTGGCGATTGTCCCATGTCAAAGTTCTACCCCCATTTCCCGAATCCGTCAGGCTGCAATCCTATATAGCATAACAAAATTCCCTCATCTTCCTGGGATGTGGTGCATGTATCCCTCTTCTATTCCTCAATTGCAGTCACTAAAATCCCCAATTACAACCCATGGCAGGTTGTTTTGCTATGCCAAGGTTCTGAGGTGCTCCCATAGCTCCGTTCTCTCGATCTGTTAGATTACAACATACACAATAGGGCAGCACCATATATGCCATGAGATTCTCTCTGTAACTATGATAGTGAAAGACTATTTATGGCTGGATATGAGTTGCACATCCCATGCAACCCAGATTCTATCACCTGTGTCTGCATCATAGTTAAACATCCACCTGTATCCCTGTAACTCGGGCGCATTTGCATAGCCCTATTCTCCAAGGCCCTCGTTTCCGCCAGGACAATGATAGCTGGCGTATGTTCTTTCACCTTCTTCCTAAATTCCCCCCTCATCTCCGCTTTAACTAGTCCCCTAACATCCCAATAAAAAATCTTCATGAATTAACCGAGTTGGAATGGATGCTATCTTCTTGCCATTAGCCATTTTCTCCCCTCACAAATCTCGTGTTCCTGCCCTGCGTGGCCTTTTTCTGTTCTATTTTTTCTCTCCTCTGCCTGAGATCATGCCTTTTTTATTCTTGTGTAGAGCTATCATTGCTTGACTCTTCGTTGGTGGAAGCTGGAGGAGACAACAACAACTCACGAAGGCCCACACCATGGTGGCGTTTGAAAACAGGAGGCTGATCCGAAGATTGTGCTGAACGAACATCTATTCCATCTCCTGGGTCCTCTAATCTGTCCTTTTCTTCGTTGATCACATCCTCATGGGGCTCTACTGCCTGCGTGTTGACCACCTTCTCCTCCACTTGTTGAAAATCTCAAATCTCAGCTGAGATTCATGTTAGATTGGGGCTTATTTCCTCTCTCATCTTTGGGCCATGGTTTGGAGTATTCGTCAATTCTTTTCACATCGCAGTCCTATCTGGAGTGATCATTGATGCAGGCAATTGGGGGAGCGCCTCATCCAACAAGAGGCTGAAACCCTGCGGCTCCACACACTCCTGATCACGTGATGTGCACAGCAGGATCTTATCCGTAGATCCATCCCCAGTAGGTGGCGTGATCTTCACGAGAAGTGAGAGGCCTCCCCCATTGTATTTAAGGTTTTTGGGGGTATTCGTAACTTCTTCCCTATCTGGCCTTCCAAGCTGCCTTGTCTTTTGAATATCTGACATGGTGATCCCTATCCTTTCATTCACGTGTCACCGATCCCTATTCACCTTCCTTGCCGTAGGCACCAATAGCAATCAGGTCTAACTCCTATCGACTACTAGTCAGGATGGAGATAGAGATTCAATACCACACCACTGGAATACTGATCCCTGCTTTGGTACCATAGGAACTTGAGCAATGAGATATGACTCCTTATTAGATTGGTTCCTTCCTTACTCTATTTCTTGCAAGCTAGAGTCCACGAGCTGAAATAAAGTACCTTAGGAAGACTAAAAGAGAGGGTGTTACCCCTATTAAGTGGTTGTTGTGCCTCCTCCCTTTAATAGGACCTTGACTCCGGCTAGCCTAGCGCGAAAGTAATTGCGCTAACGTGGACTCGTTTTCTTGCTTTTCTTTGCTTGCTCGAAAGCCAACAAGCAATGGTTAGCGCGAAAGCCGTTGCACGTTAGTGCATCCATTTTCTTTCTTGTCTTTGGCTCAAAAGTCAACAAGCAATAGCTAGTGGGAAAGCTGTTACGTTAACGCTCATCCGTTTTCTTGCTTTTCTTCGCAGCTAGTGCGCCCCTACTAGTAAAGTAAAGAGTTTCTTCAGTCCCTTTTGCTCTTTTTTTTCTATTCGAAACTAGAACGAAAGGAAAGAAAGAGATTTGGTTCAAAAGCACAATCCCGTCTCTAAGAAAAGTAGCTTGAACTGTCAACATGAACGAGAGAAAAACAAACTCCGTGATCTAAGCCACTTGACTAAGAGAACTGGTCTTTCTATCTTAGCTGCTTTCCCTTCTACCGACACAAGAGGGACTTTTTCTCTAAAGGCTATGCCCTCTTTGTGATTTCCAAACCAATTTTGTGCTGGCACTGGAAGCCGCAGCTGACCTGGCCTATCTTTTTGATCCACTAGTACCGAACTGACCTGCCAAGCTTACGAAAAAGGGAATCTTTTTTTAAACTATCTACTCTCTTCCCGAAACTACCGTGAGTGACTGTTCTTTGTGTAGTGCCAACAGACCTCCTGGCTTATTGACTTGAACCACTGAACTTTAGAGCTAACGTAACGAACAAAAGGAACTTAACTAATGGCACCTGACAAACAGCAAACAACAAACAGCTTATCTCAACTACTTGACTTGAATCCCAGTATTAAAAGACGTAACTTCAGGAGTTGACTTTGGAAGGAAAAACTTTCTGAGCAAGGCCACTAGCACTTGCCCGAAGTATCGCTACCGCAAGACGAGAAATCAATCAATCGCTTCCCCTCTCTCCCTATAAAGCATAATAGGAGTTCAAAGCAATAAAAAGCGACAACAAATCCATTAAAGGTCCGAAGGACAGGGCACAAACGGGAAACCTTGGAGAATGAGCAGTGGCGGGAGACAGGGGGTGAAGGACAAACGGTAAAGGCGGCGCCGCTCTCCTTCATTGCCTGGAAGCAGTGAGCCTGCGAGGTTTCTATTAGCCCTTCCGGCTAGTTTAACGGCAAAGAAGAAGCTGTGAAACAAAGGCTTTGCTTTCTATTGTTCCCCGTGAGGGCTTGCTTCCGTCTAGAAAGAAGGGCCGACAATAGCTCTGCCCCTACTGCCAGCTTTCTTCCCGGCCTGCTGCTTATGAAAGAGAAGAGTTAAGTCTTCTATAGAATAGAATCAAATTGGCTCTGCCTCGCCTAAAAGGAGTAAAAGAAGAAGGGTAGGTTAGATGGTTCCTTCGCTATGCGATGTGAAGCACTTTCCGGCTGCCTGCCCACCTGGACCTTGATTCAACAACCGGCCTTTGCTCTTGCCCTACCCAGACTAGCCAATAAAAATGCCACTGCGCCCTGCTGAGACTGAATGCTAGACTGAGATTCTGCTATGTATATTAATTGAGATATCTTTTATAGGAGTGCGATGCCCCAACTGCCCACCCGCTCCCTGCCTTTCTTTCTTTGCTGATATAATAATCTGCATGTTATACTTGAATCTATTGAGAGAAGAAATCCTTACTTTTCCTTAATGCCCGAAGCTCCATCCCCGTTCCATCGAACTCCTAATGTAGTGAAGGGAGCCCTTCTTCACTTGTCAGCTCCTATCAGATCAGTAAAGGGTTCCAAAACTTCAGGCTCCCAATTCTCTGGCTGGAAGCAAGAATTGAAACCAGCAATCGCAATGGAATAATGGCCCTCTGCCTCCGTGTTATTCCATTTGTTCCGGGAGGGAAATAGGAAGCAAAGCAAGAGTTGGCCGGGGGACTTCTCTATCCCAGGCTGCCTGCCTTTCTTTTTTAGAGTTCACTACGCCCTTCTTCATTCATGAAAGGAGAAAGCGTATCTCAAAGGCTATTATAGGACTACATGCCCGCCTTTCTTCGATGGATGAAAGAAGAAAGTCTTCTCGCCACCTGAAATGCCCGAAGTGGTCGTGACCCCCTGTCCTTGTTAGTGAATGGGAGAGGGGATTGGCCACCATAGCCTCATAGACTTATGAGGGGAAAGCAGATGAGATCGGCCACATCATCCACCTTGTATCAGGCAGGAGCATGATTCAGTTAGGGCATCACATAGCCCTCCTTGTATAAGTCATCGGCTTAAGTCGCCTATAGACTCGTGCCGTGTAGCAAACTCCTCTCATTGGTTTGGTAGTTAGTTATAGGTTATTGAAGCGTTCGTCTACTTTAATAGGCATTGCATTGCAAGCTAATAGATAGCCCCCGTCCCCGTCACGAGCTTGTTGTAGTTGGAGAGCATACCAGTACCCATCGCGAGCTTTTTGTAGTTGGAGAGCATACCAACAGTTTGATTCATCGATAACAGACGATGATTAGCCCTTTCCTGTAGACAAAGTTAGGATTCTTAATTAACCTAGCTCATTCTGCTGCTTGGCTTGTTATTTGTAACAGAATTACCAACTCGCAAAACTCAAATTGTGCCTTCCAATTTCCAAATGTATAGTTCATCTGTATTCTAATAATATAACCTTATATTCTCCTGATTTTTAGAATATTTTAGTGTTATCTTTTGCTTGGATTGGTCTTACCCTTTGGTTTTGTTCTAAGCAAACCTGGGATGACGGATAGGGTAGACTGACCATTGCGCCAATCAAGGCAGGCCCTAGATTTCACCCTAGATTTTTTATATAAATTAGAAGAGATAAGTTTTTGATTGGATCATAGTTGCGGTGTCATTATGACACTGATGATGCTATGGGCTCTTTGAGGCTACATAATGATGTCATGTTGTAAGAGGAATAAATGGGCACAAATGCCATTATATGCAAGAATATGGATGTACATGCAATATTCACTTATACAGACATGTACATTTTGACTTCTAGACTCAATCTCAAGACAGAATGCCTCTAAATGGAAATAGGATCCTAACCCACTTTGCTTGGATTTGAAACTCATCCAAATTTGCAGTATTTACTATAGACTCTGTATAAATCTCTATGTACAAGATGCATGGCAATCCAATTTCGTGGAATCGAAAGGAGAAGCATTTCTAGCTGTAGCCTAATGTTTTTCTTATAGATCTTTGCGTGTGATATGCATGAACCTGTTTATTGGAATTGATAAGAGAAGCATTTCTATAATATCTTTCCCTGGCCTTTGATGTAACACAATCGGTTTGGAAGAGATCAGTCTATGATTTGAACTTCCCTCATGCAAGTCAAGCCAACCTTCCCAAAGAAAAGACAAATTTTTTGCAGTAGAGATAATGCAAGTCTTTGATGTCATCATGTGCTTTTCTTTAGATAGATGGTTGTGAACTCTAGTCACATATTTAAGTGATATCTGTATGGTTTTGGTGTGGCCATAAACTAGTTCTTCTTATTGTGATGCCTACTTTGATCCATGCTCTCTCTCTCTCTCTCCCTCTGTGTGTGTGTGTGTTTGTGTAAATAGGTGCACTTGGATATCCAAATTTGTAAATTTGTCTTCCTCTAGTGGCTCTTACATATTTCTTAAAATATTTAGTAAAACCTTTCTATGTGCTAGAGCAGGCTGTTTTGAGACAATTCTCCACACATGGTGGAAATGACACTGTCATCACTGATGAGGCTGAGGTTCGATGCCATAAAAAGCTGGAAAGCCTCTATATATCCACAAGAGCTGCAAAGGTATAGTGGTTGTTCTGCTTGGCCTTCCCCATGCTATAGTTGAGCTCCAAATACTTCTATTTTGAGTAATTTTGTTTTATGAATTCTTGAGGTTTAATTTGCCAGGATGTAATCTGAAACACCAAGTTTGAGACTTCTCTTTGAATTGTTTAAATAGCATTTTCAGAAAGATGTTGTTCGCAGTATTGAAGGTCTCATTTCTACTAGTTCAAAGCAGATGGAAATAGGTAAGGTTGGTTTCATACTCATATATTTGGATATTACTAGCATCGATTTGCATTTTTTAGTGACACTGTTTAAAATTGTTGGCCTCATGTTGTACCTAGCAACAAAGCTAGCAGATGATTGTTGCAAGTATGGGAATGAGAGCCACAGCTCAAATACTACTCTTGCAAGTGCATCACGTCAATTTGGGACTTCACGGAATTCCATGGAAAGTGAAAGAGAAAATTTGCGTAGGATCCTCAGTACTCAGGTGACATTTTGTTTTCAGTTTCCCTTTACTTATATAGGCTTTACAAAAAAGATATGCTTTCGGAGTCTGTCACAGAGAAACGCATGTTGTCGGCACATTTCTTTGAGGCATGTTGTAAGAACATTTCAGAATACTGATAACATGGTGAGGTTTTTGTTCTCTGCTAGTGGACATCTTATGTGCATTATCAGTAAAGCTTACATAATCTATTACTTTAAGGAATTTTGATAGATGTTCTTTTAAATAATTAGATCAAAGACATATAGTTTACATGGCCCAGATTCCAAGGAAAATCAAAATTTGTAAAAAGCTGCTAGGCAATACGTCTCCAAGGAGTTCCCAAATTCAGATATGTTGCTATGTTGGGGTACGGACTCAGCCTTGATTGGTTATGATCCTCTCCCCCCCCCCCCAAAAAAACAAAAGAAAAGAATAAGTAAAGACATTTTGTTGTGGATTTTTTCATCCTAGCAAAGCTGTCAATCACAAATACTGCAAAATTAGACTGGCCATATCCTTAGAAACATGTGCTTCTTAACCATGTTCAACGGGAACCACTAATTTGTGTATCATATTGTTTAGCAGAATGCTTGGAGATAATTTAAGGTTTTACATTGAAATCTTTGTGGGGAATCTTACAGCTGAAGGGCTCATATGGAAATTATAGTTCTTCTATGTTTCTCAAGTTGCTTCTTGAAGGATTCTAACTCCTATTGTAATACTGTATTTTGTTGCTTGAATCCTCAGCAGAACAGAGCTGAATGCGAATGATTGAACTTGACTTATATCACTTTTAGGTAAAAGGTACATGCAATAGGTTTTCATGTTCTGCAAACCTGCCCAAAAAACAAGCAGTCTGCAAATCTGTCCAAATAACAAGCAGGATGTGGAGTGGTCCTTCTTGTGCACTTTTGGGCACATCATGGGTTGGGATTCAGGAAGTTGCAGGTATTACAACCTCTTGCTCAGTTCTAGTCCTGAAGTGGTTTGTGTGGCACATGTTTTCTCATTTCCTAGAGGTTGGGAAATCAAACAAAATCAAACACACCATACTTGGGAAGCTTGGGCCTCCGTCCAGAACAGCAAGGTCACTGGCTGGGGCCATTAAAGTTACTAAAGGCTAAAACTTTAGTCCAAGGCTCAGTTAAGTTGTTCACATATTATTGTTGGCCCAATTTTGTGTGTGTGCGCTCAAATAAAAGCAAAACACACAACAAAAATGGGAAAACAGAACTTTTGAATATAATATAAAGCAAAAATGCTTGCAATTGTGTTTGGGTTCATAATCTCCCAGATCTGGTTAGCAGATCCTTTTAGGCCATCCGGCTTGTATCATGTCGGCAGAAGCCCCGACATATTTGGCTCTCTCTCTTTGCTAGGATTTTGGCTCAACCTTAGAGGTAGAGCTAAGTTTCTCTCTCTAAGGGAGTTCATCTCTCTAGTTTGTGTGTTCTCTCTCTCTCTAAGCTGCTTCCTGAAGTTTTCAACATCCAACCTTTATATGACCTAGGGCTGGGGTTTACATAGAATTGATACCTGGGTGGATAATCAGGTCAATAGATATTCTCAATTGGAATATCTCATATATGGATAATACACATTCCAATCCATGGGTGAATTCACAACTTTTTGTTCAGTCAGTTTCCCAAAGGCAAGGTTTTTGGAGTGATTTTGAAGAAAATATCACTTACTATCCTTGAAAACTTTGGGGATCCATATACCCATCAGATCCACTACTTATTTCGCTGTTTTTCCACTAGTATGTGGTCATTTTAGCTTTGTAGAGTCATAGAAAATTGATTTAGGACCATTTTGTCTCAAGTTTCACGTAAAAACTCCCAAGTATTGAGGGAGCTCTGAGCGTTTTTGTAGGTGTGGGTTGCAATTTCAGCAACATCAAAATTATAGCAGCAAATGGGCTTCAAAATCTCCCCCAATATTCAAATGACCTATGGCAAATTTTATATTGATGGAAAAAGGATTGAGTCAAGAGTTTGCACACCAAATTTCAGCTCAAGATTCGTCCCGGATTTGAGAAATCGTCCGTAGAGTGACCAGAAGTCATGCTGCCTGCAACAAGTGAAAATTTCCCAACATCTCTCTTCAAAATATACATATGGATGGAAAGCTCTCTTAACGAGGAACAACATATCAAAAAATCAGCCCATTTCACCATGGGATTTGGGAGAATGGCCAAAAAAAAAAATGGTGATTTTGTGTTGTTTTTGTTGCGTTTTGGGTGATGGTGAATAGTAACTCGAGTTAGCATATGAATAGTATGGTACAACGAAGTTCCTTAACTAAACGGTACTACATGATTTGGGATTGACCTCAAACTTTAAACTTAAGTTTTTGGAGGACTTTTATCATCCCTCAAAGTTTTAGCTCCGGGGGTCTCTTTTTAAATCGATCCATTTTTCCATGCCACTCAGTCCACCATCCATGCTACCAAGATTGTCTCTACTCTCTAGCACATATATTGGCCTGTCGATATTAGAATGCCCTAATTTTTGGGGGTTATCTTGGGGTTTCCTTAGATTAGATTTTCGTTCAGTTTGAGGTCTTCTGCATCAGTCTGGATAGGGTTTGACCCACGATCCTAACCAATCATGCATTTTGATTTGCAATTGATCCCAAAATTCATGACTCTTATTTGTGAGATCCCTTAACACAAAATATGAGGTCCTCCAAAATTGGCCTTGTGATCGTTTGGGAGCTTTCCTTTGACTTTCTGACTTTTTTGGGTGTTCCAGTGCATATGTTACTGGTTGCCTATGGGAGTGGACTATCATGTGCTGTCGCCAATGACAGGTCGCCTCTGATTGGGAACCATCATCCACCATGCCTTTTAAGGGTTTTTCGAGTCAGATGAGGCCAAATGCCCCCTTGGTTTTAAACCGATTGTTGGGAATGTATTGTACAATATGATCTAGTTCTGTACTCCATTTCTTCTGGAATTGGTGTTGGGGCTCTAATCGAAAACTACCCCCAAACAATTATCTGTTAGTTCCTTTCTTTTCTTTTGAAATACTAAAAATTTCATTTGAGAGCAATTTGGAAGTCTTGTTTTTTTAAATTTTCAACTGTAGCACTTTGCTACTCTTGCATTTGCTGATAATTGAGCATTTCTTTCTTAGTGAAAGGTAACATTTATCTGGAGTTATAATCGTTGAGAAGCATCCGTTACCTTGTTGGGGGAAAGTTGGTGCTTTGTGTTTTGTTTGGGCACATTTCCCATATCATTATAATTGACAATTATTAGTGCCCTACTTTAGTTTTCAACATTTTTTTTCCGTAAAAATTGATGACGATAAAAAGAAGTGTTTGTGATGACATTACTAAAAGGATAAAATCCTCTGAACAATATGTACCGTGAAGAATTCCTAACTATGGGACCTCCTTGAATACAAAACGGTCAATTAAGGCACCATGTTGCTCATCAGAAATGGAAGATCATTACAAATATTGCCCTTAGTTGTTGGGTTCTCCTACCATCGGTGGCGATATCGCTCTAGGAATCCCTTGCCTCTGGAGCACGATCGCAGTTTTGCCATGATCCCATGTTGGAGGGAGTGTGATGCCAATTCAATGTGGGTTGGTCAATAGGTCAACACACCCATATTCATTATATTTTAAAGGAAAAAAAGAATAGATGCATATCAAACAAAAAAAGAAAGCAATATATGCCAATAGATAAATAAATAAGTAAAAAATGCATATCAATAAAAAAAGTAATACGTATTCAAATCCATAAATTTTTCAAAGGGAAAGATTCTTACATCTGCACTGTTAAAAAGTAAAAGTTGTAAATGCAATGATCCTAAAATTGCATTTAATATAGGAAATGGTTGATCCAACTTTTGGCATATAGGAAATGGTAGACAAAGATTTAAAGGATATAGTAGTAGATGTCAAGAGAGTAGGTGATATGCTTTATTAATTAAAACTTGTGTTAAGAGAGGAGATAATCAATGTAATCAGTGCTTATGCACCACAATTAGAATTAGAGGATAGAATTAAAATACAATTTTGGGAGGGCATGGATGGACTATTCTAAGGAATACCTAATGGCGAGAGGACATTTTTAGGAGGAGACTTGAGTGATCATTTAGGAAAGATAGTAGAGGATATGATAGAGTACATGGAGGATATGGATTTGGGGAAAGAAATGAGATAGGTGATGCTATTCTTGAGTTTTTTCTATGGCTGACGATCTAACAATACACCTACTTTAAAAGCGATATGGACATTTAACAACTTAGTAAAGTGGATCACATAAAAGCCAGGTAGACTTTTTTCTAGTTAAGAAGACAAAATGATCATCATGTAAAGATTGTAAGGTTATCTTACGAGAGAATTTGACCAAGCAACATAGGCTCATGGTTATGGATGTTTACACTAATAGATGAAAGAGGAATGATATTAATGGTTATAGGAACTAGGTGGTGGAACTTAAAAAGGGAGAAAATAGACTTAATTATGAATAAGTTGATGAAAATAAGGAAAATGGAATTTTGGGGACAAAGTTAATGTTACATGGAATGAGATGCTTGATTGTATTAAGAATGTAGAAAAAGAAGTTTTAGGAGAAAATAGAGGGAAAATTATTTGAGATAAAGAAATTTGGTGGTGGAATGATGAAATTCAAAAGACTATTAGCAAAAAACGATCATATTACAAAGCTTGATAAGGGAATAGCAATGATTAGAATCTAGAAGAATATAAAAATGGCAAGAGAAACGCCAAGAAAATAGTAAGGCTAAGTTTAAGGCATATGATGATCTATACAATAAATTAGAGACAAGAGAAGGTGAACAAATTGTCTGCAAACTAGCAAAAATGAGAGAGGAAATGTAGGGATCTAGATTATTTTAAATGCATTAAGAGTGAGGATCAAAGGGTGTTGGTGAAGGATGGCAAGGTCAATAAAAGGTGGAGGATCTATTTTCAGAAATTGTTAAATGACGTTCATTCTAGGAACTCAATATTAGGAGGAACCATTGAAATAAATGAGGTCAGAGGCCATATATACTTACATAGGATTAGGATATCTGAAGTGAAAGAAGCTCTGACAAAGATGAATATAAGAAAGGCTTTTGAACCTGATGGTATACCAATAGAGGTTTGGAAGTGCATGGGAGAAATTGGCATATTCTAGTTGACCAAGCTGTTCAACAAGATTTAAAGAACTATATGAATGGAGGAAAAGTATTGTAGTACCTATTTACAAGAATAAATGAGGCATACAGAGTTGTACAAACTAATGAGGGACCAAACTTATGCGCCACACTATGAAATTGTGAGATAAACTGATTGAGCAACGATTAAGACACGAAACGGGTGTGTATCAGAAAATTAGTTGGTATTTTTGCCAGGGAAGCCAACCATTGAGGCTATTTTTCTACTTAGGCAATTGTTCAGGGAGAAGAGAAAAGGCTTCCACATGGTTTTTATTGATTTAGAGAAGGCATACGATGGGGTACCTCCACATTATGAAGCTGTGGGAGGACTTATTGTGCAACAACTGTGACATGAAACAAGTATATTGAAAATCAGTATGGTTTTATGCTCGGGGGGAGGTCAACAATTGAGACTATCTTTTTACTTAGGCAATTGATTGAGAAGCTTAGGGAGAAGAGAAAAGACCTCCACATGGTCTTGATTTAGAGAAAGCATATGATATGTTACCTCGAGAAGTAATTTGTGGGTGTTAGAAAAGAAAGAAGTCTTTAAAGGATATATTGATATGGAGAGAGACATGTATAAGGGAGCACTAATTAGTGTGTGGACAATAAGTGGAGAAGTACCTAAAAAGATATTATTGTTTATATCTTAGGTCAATAATCCATGAAAAATGAGAGATTGAGGAAGTTGATGCTCATAGAATTAAAGCTGGATAAGTGAAGTGGAAATGCTTTTAGAATCTTATGTGATCGTCGCATGCCAATGAACTCAATACGATTGCTGGAAGACCAGCCATGCTTTATGGTATGGAATGTTGGACAGTCAAGAAACAATGTATCCATAGAACGACTGTAGCTAAGATGAGGAAGTTGCGATGGATAAGTCTCAAGACAAGGAATGATAGAATTGAATAATTTCGAGGGAACCTAGGATTAGCTCCAACAAGTGATAAAATAGGGGAAAGTACACTTAGGTGGTCTAGTCATATGCAGCGTCGACTTAGAACAACACCGTTTAGGAGGGGTGGTTCAAGTGGAAGGCTCCGAGAGGGCAAGGAAAAGGAGCCAAAGGACATGGATGGAAGTAATGAGAAAAGATATTGTGATTTATGTTTTGACTGAGCGTATGACCCTTGATAGAGCGGAACGACGGAACAAGATTCGTGTAACCTACCCAAATAGTTGGGATACGGCTTGGATAATGATGATGATCCATCATCTCTTCAAAAAATATGTTCAAGAGAGATCCATCATCTCTTCAAAAAATATGTACATCTCTCTCTCTCTCTCTCTCTCTCTCTCTCTTTGTCTCTCTCTCTGTGTCTTTCCATGTTTTTGCTCTCTGTACTTCACGCCTTTTCTTAAAAGAAATATTTAAATGAAGGGGCATATATGAAGAAAAACAGTTGGTCTTGTGTATCATTTGACCAAAATCCTTTGCTAACATTTACGAATGTTATATCTAATAAGTACCTTTAGCACATTATTTTCAAGGACTTATACATGAGAAGGCTCAAGTAAATATGATTTATTACTGTCAAATTTTATTTGATGAAATTTATTTGTAAGTAGAATAAGTATATCTTTAATTATTAATTTTTCATGAAAATATTATTTTTGAAAATTTGTGATGAATCCTTTATCTTTCAAATAATTAATTCATTTTTTATATATTTGTTGTAGAGGCACTCCCAAACTAGGGAATCCTAACATGCATCATTTGCACCAGCTCCCACCTTTTAACTACTATTATGCTACCTATATACTGAATCACAAAAGACTGACTAGCAATATACTACTTTGTTACACATAATGGATTATGTTTGTGGTTTTCTATGCTACTGTACTCATAACCATCTTTTTATCTTGGAGACTGTATCCCCTTTATGTGATGTGCTCAATTTACAAATACATCATGCTTATTCTTATTCTTATTGTGTTGCTGTTGTATGTACGTTTTCATATGTAAATATCATAAAAAACAAATAGGACATATTTGATTTGATTTGTTCCTCAGTGTATGGTTGGCCACTATCTTGAGTCTGCATCACTGTGGTAGGTCTTTAGAATCATTGATGATCAAGTACAACCTGGACATCGAGTTCCTCTGGTATCCATATTATTTTGGTTGTCATTTCATTGTCTGGATGTAGCAGTTCTAATACTTAATATTTTGATACTTAAATGTGCTTCCCAGTTTTAATATCAGTTTTAAAATAAGGAGACTTACTTAAGATGAGGAGTGCTTTTGAAAATTTTATTTCATAAAAACTTGTCTGGGTGGTCAATATTCTTCCATGGCCTCTAATTATGCTTGGTTTGTTAACTCATATGAATCTCTGTAGGTTTCTGAGCCATTAAGGGCAATGGTCATGGGGGCTCCTTTAGAAGATGCCCGCCTTTTGACACATAGGTATGACCGGATTTTTCAGGAGGTGGAAGCTCAGGTATCTTTTGAGGGTTATGTGATGTTTTTTAGTAGGATAAGTTTTGATATAAGATCGAGTTTCTTTTTCAGTTTATTTGATATAAGATTAAGTGAATATAGAATAACCAGGTAGCTGAAGTTGGAAGGCGTCAATTGAAGGCCAAGGAACCTGGGGCAAATGCAGACAGTGCATATAAACTACAAAATGCAGAGATGAAGCTATCAGAGCTTAAGTCCTCTTTGTCAGCTCTGGGGAAAGAAGCTACTGCTGCGATGATGTCTGTTGAGGCTCAACAACAACGCCTCACTTACCAAAGACTTATTACAATGGTATCACTCTCATATTAATACATGAATTTTTTGTGCATTAAAAGGACAACATTTTTTACGTATGTTAATGACTTGCATATTAACTTTTAGCATTACAGGGGCAGATTTAGTGTGTTGATAGCTTTTTTGTTATGCCTTCTCCCTTTTAGTTGCCTTACCTCTATTTGACTATTCCGGCTACGTTGTAAAATATCTAGAATTCTGGGGAATCATGTTTGCATACTCTCCAGCAGATAAAGGCTTTCAGGTTCATTTATCATTTGATTGTTGATCGACTCAATTTTCTTCCTTAAGCCTCTGCATTGGGATGGTAGTCTTTTTCACATACAAAGTCCCCTCATGGCAATTACTTATCGGTTTTGCACTTATCATGATGACCATCATCCTCATTGTCATCATCATGTCAAATATTATGTTGTATTGTTGTTATTGTTGTTACTTGTTCTAATATTTCATATTCATGGTAAACCAAAATATTGCATGCAAAGTCCAGAAGCCCTTGTCAATTTAGATGAGATTTACAAATACAGAATTATTGTTAGTGTTTGGAGTTAGTTTCTTTGAGATTTGATGTTTAGGGCTTGGACTTCCTGATTTCGGGTTCCAGATTATAGGTTTGGATTTTTAAGGCTTAGATTCAGATACAGATACAGTTCTCACAGGAGCGTGAAAAAATTGGATAAAAGACGTTATCTTCAATCAATGAATATTTATTTTCCCATATTGATATAATTGGTTAGTTGTCAGGCCTTTTGGATCTGAAAAAAAATCTCCCTCTCTCTGCTCAACTTTTAGCAGGTGATAGGGATGTTGAAATGTTTAAGCTTTTGTGGTTTCTTGTTATTTGATCCTATTGAGATTTCACTGGATGCCAAATTGATTTTTTATAAAGGTTTAGGGGCATATAGTTCTTACACTTTCTCCTTCAGGTTGAGGCGGAAAGGTCTTACCATAAAGCAGTTGCTGATAATCTAGATAAGCTCCATGCTAAGGTATGGCATCTAACCTTCGACTCATTTGGATTTTGTGGAGTGTGGGCTAGGTTCTTACACAGCTGGTTAAATTGTCTATCTTAAACTTTCCTGTTGATAACACGTCAGATGGTGGTGGAGAAGCAGCGTTATGAGTCAGGTGCTTTGGCAGATGTTTGTCTCTCTTCCCCGTCAAACAAAGACAAAACTGAGAATGGTTCTGGTGGCACTGCTAATGCTACTCAGAAAGCCATGTACTTTTTAGCAGAAGTAAGGGTCTTCCTTCAATCATAGTTTAGTTCAACTTGCATGAATTTTATTTTAAGTGTTTACCCTCTTTGAAGGATCTTACTTCAATCTTATGTTAGTTCTAGTATCTTGGCTTGAATTTTCTTGAGAATTTCTTTTTTTTTTCTGATTACACTCTTTTCTCGTCCTCCCACCCCACCACCGTCACCACCACCACCACACAAAAAAAAGAAAAAGAAAGGAAAAGAAAAGATCCGCTTATTGTTTTTTTCCACAATTTGTTATTTGTTCCTAATTTTGGGAATGTTCGTTGTGCTTGATGGTTCCTTTACTACTTTGTCCCCTCGCTGAATGAAGTGAGATAGTTCTACACTAAGGTGTGGAGTTCTTAAGAGGATTCAAGTGGAAAATATATCAAGCAAGGATGTCCAACGTCTATGCCTAGGGGTTAGGCAATGGATATCACCCTTTTCTTGAAGATGCCAAAAAAGCATCACGAGTCTCTATATAGAGAATGGTTTCTTATATATCGCTAAATTCAGCTTATATAAATGTTTTTCGTTTCTTTCTTTTTATTATTTATTTTTTCTTAGCCTTTTATAATTTTCCTATTTTCTACTTTTCGAGAATTTCACAAGGGAGTAAGAGTTTCGTAATATAAAAGGAATGTCGTCACTGTGAAATGCTAAAAAAAAGGAGATATAGAACTCTGGGAGCACGAATATTCACGGATTTTGGGAGCATGGAATTTGTAACACACTCATTTTCAACAGTTCGTGCAGCATGTCTAGGAAATTATGGTAAAGTTTTTGTATCAAACATTTTTTACATGTTCTCTCTTAAGAGATGCATTATATGTGCAGGTATTACATCCTTTTGATGCTCAGGCAGAGGGCGAGCTTAGTCTTTCTGTCGGTGACTATGTTGTGGTTCGCCAGGTACTTATTGTGGTTTTTACTCCTAGCCGTTTGATCTGACAGTTAAGGTTTCTGTTATTGTGACTCGCTATTTTAGAATCTATAACATGGGTTTGTTTCTAGACATGGTCACAAAACATGCACATGGTTGTGTGTTGTTTTTTATGTTTTCGGGGTTGGGTGGGGGGGGGGGGGGGTGGGTTGGGTTTGACAAGTTTGTCATTTATCAAGATGGTGCCAAAAAAGGTTTGTAAAGAACGAGTAGATTTTCTAGAGCTATTAGTTCTTCTACCGTGAACCTCCGAAAAGTGTGCCTGTGACTCTCTCTCTCTCTTTCATGGTCACTGTATGTGTGTGTGTGTGAGGGGGGGGGGGGTTTGTTTAATTGAAGTTGATGTAGTTCATTGCAATTAACAGGTTTCACCAGCTGGATGGTCGGAAGGCGAATGCAAAGGGAAGGCTGGCTGGTTCCCGTCGGCTTACATTGAATTGCGAGATAAGGCACCCGCAAGCAAGATATCTGACATTGACCCACAATCATGATTTAAGTTTCTGCTGTGGTAATTTTGTAGATCGGTACCTTGAAATGTAATTTTCTGGAAGAACCTACGGATTGTATTCGTTTTTTTTCTTTTTTTTTGATATTGTGAAAAGAGTGTGAAGATGTATGTTGTTGTTCTTGTTCTCCATTTTGCTTGTATCTGAACTTTTTCAGCTGCGCTTTCAGGTTGCCATTTTTCTCACAATTTGTATATTTGTAATTTGTGAAATATCAGTGATGTTCCATGTGTAAACATCTCTATATATATATATATATATATATATATATGTCTCTCTCTCTCTCCTTGAATAGGGGCATGCATTTGTTATCCCAACTGCTAGTCTCTCTGTACGTGTTGTCTCTTGAAAGGGTTGGCAATGGCAAGCTACGAATAGAGGTGAGAGCATCTTTCATGTGCCGTATTCACGGTTTTGCAGGGGGCTCCAAATTCCTTGACATAAACAACAAAAGACCAAAAGCTGGACAACTTTGCCTATGACTCTGGAATTGTGTTTGCAACGGTTTAATGTCCAACAAGGCCCCACTTCTATCCTTTTCTCGCCAAAACCTTTCCATGTGTTTGCCACAAAAACAACGCTCGAGGGGCCACTTTTTTTTCGTCCATCCTACTGATAATATCAGGATATTTTATTTGAGATGTGTTTTTTTTTTCTTTTTCTTTCTCTTTTACTGCACGCACTCGAGAAGCCCTTTCCCCAGGCTTTTTATGCGAGTTTAGCGGGGGATTTCCAATTCTAAACTTTGGATGGCAGAATAATAAAAATAGCTGTGTTTTTAAAATTTTGAAATACTATGCTTCAAAATTATAAGACCTGAAAATTAGTTAATTTTAGCCATTCATTAAAGTTGTCATTAATTATGATATTTCAAATTTTTTTTTTTTTTTATGCGTCAAAGTTGAGCTAAAATTTTGGGCTTCTTTACCCTCAAGAACCCATAAAAAATTTGTAAAAAAAATTTATGAAAAATATAAGGATTGAATACCATCGTCGACAGTATATTTGAATATTTCAGTTTTGTTTTATTTTTTGTACATCGGATTGAGCTAAATTTTTGGGCGTCTATACTTCCCCTGTACAAACACTAATAAGAAATATAAATATTATTAAATAAAATAAAATGATCAAAACACCCTTGAAACCCATACTATAGGTCACCTAAAATACTTTTAATCTCAACCGTCATATCTTTGATTAGACGGTCTAGAGCATGTCTGATTATTTTAATTTTAAGTTTTTATATATTGGATGGATCTAAAATTTTGAGTGTTTAGACGTCTAAATAACTCACACTTATAATATATATATTACAAATATTAAACGACCAATTTTCCCTTTAAACTTTTAGGGGTATTTTAGTTATTTTATTTTATATAAATTATTATTTTTGATATTTTTTTAAAGTACCCAATTTGGCGCACCTACCCTCCAACTTCCATCGGGATCCCATTAGAGAAAAAAAAAAAATCATTTGAAGTTTTGTGCACATATTCAAAATGATAAACATAGTAAAAATAATAATAATAAAAAAAAGCAAATCCACATTTCCTTTTTGACTAATATACTACTCCAAATATGGAGTGTTGAAAGTCCACATTTTGCATTTTTGAGAAATATAAACTTCCTTTCACTGCAACATTTCTAGTCGAAATGCTACAATTTTTCAGAAACTTGTGTCTGGCAACCAAAATTTTGGTTGCCAAACCGAGCCCTAGATGTAAGTTTGCACAAAGTTGAACAAAATCCATTATTGAATCCCATATACCTGTCACAATATTATTGTGTTAGCTGGAACTAACTACTGGCACTCCAATTGGAAAAAGTTCATATAAGGTTCAATCATATATCGTAGAAATAAGAAATCCACCCGAAAAGGTTGTTTGATGTCGAAAATATATAATTGATCATCTCGGTTTCAATATTTATGGATATAAAAAAAAAGATTTCAAGTTACAATAGCACACCTTGTAACATGTTATCTAAACTATCAATTTTTAAAAATTTGAAGTATTTATATATCTGTTCAATCTGCACTATTAGAACTTCAAATTTTTATAGTTAAGGCTAAAATAGTTGTTTAAGCTATTGTAAGGGTTTCTAACACCACAAAGTGCATCTTTTAGCAAGATTTAGAAGGTGCACTTTATTTTGATTATTTTAAAGAGTGCGTTTTGTATAGAGCCTAGGCTCTAAATAGTCAAATTAGAACCTACCTTCAAATAGTGTTGAGAAATATGGTTTCAATACTAAAAATCTTTGTGATAGCCTTAAAATATATTTATCTTTATTTATAAAGTTTAAAGCTTC